ACCTCAAACAGCCGAAGAATGAAGCGAGTATTAATGTTATTCTATACAAGCACATGCTGGTCAAGTCGCCGTGCTCATAGCTTTTGTTATCGGACTCTTGAAAGGGTGCTAGAAAAGCTTCGTCCAAATACACCAGATGCAATATAGAAAGCTAAAAGGGAGTAGTGGTGTACCTTGGACATCACAGTCTTACGACAGAGCCTCTTACAATGGAAATTATGCTGAAGTGCTATTCTCAAGATGTACGGTAGTCAGGTAGGTCATGACCGGACGTGGTGACATGGACTGTGGCGACGTGGCGAGTCTCCAAAATCGTTTTAATATAACATACTATGACTTTGTAATTTATGAGACCGCGAAAAATCTATAATACTACCAAGAAAGTTTGGGATCTTGGTGTAACTTTTGTCCCACCAAACCAAAAGATCATTACCAATAGGTGTATCTTTATAAGATAATCGACGTGATGGTAAGTAGTTTTCTTGCCCGTTGCTTCTCTTTGTTTTTCCTTTATTTTATTTTTATTTTGTTAATAAACTATTGTGGCTGTCGTATTTAAAGCCTGTAGTTTAATTAGTGGTGTTTTTCTCTAGTCTAGTGAAAAGAAATTATTTTTATTTGAAGTTTCAAATGGATTAATGTTCAAATAACTGGTTTTAAATGTACATATATATATATGTTGTCATGGTATGTTTAGGAAAGGGAGGATTGTGTGGGTGCGTGTTTACCACATCTAAGATTCAGTAAAAGCTTAAACAAAAACAGGTGAAAGAAAAATCAAAACTGAGTAATTTAAAAGTATATCACAGGCATTTGCTTTTGAGAATTAAATTAAGTATGAGAAAACATTATAATAAAGAAAATGGACCGTATATAAGTATTTAAATTTTTCAGTCTTGAAAACAATGTTTAATATGTTTATGGTACTTTATATTACATGGAAGAAAATGAAATAGTCATTGTCCCAAAACCTGCTTTTTCACGGGTTACAACCATGGATATGTTTTGTTCAATCTATGGATGTTTTGATACAAACATCAGTGCGTGAAGGAAAACAGAGTATTTTTCAATAGTTTTGGATCAGTTGATCATACCTGAAACAAGCAAAAGTACCCGTCCCCAGTGACGGGAAAGTTTAAGTTAATCTATCAATTTAAATTATTTCATGGACTCTAAAAACGTTAATTCTGTTCCGCTCTTGGTTTCACTCAGAGCCAAAGCTTTGAGCTACTTATACCGCCCACCGCGAAAAGTAATTGTTGAGCATTTCAGTCATGCTAAGTGCCGCTCAACAATAACATATGGCGAATCTACATTTTTATTTTATAAGTTATGTCATATTTTGAAATGTGAATAATAGTGTGATTAATTCCTAACAATTTAGTGTAGAATCCTGCTTGCAAAACAAAATTTGGCATCAGAATTGTTCATGCCTGTTCTCCCGTCATTTCAAAAGTGAATGTTGAGCTTTGTCTGCGTGCGCAGCTTTTCAAACGGGAGATAGACGAACGCTTGGACAAACACCGCGGTTCGATTCGCAATATATATAAGATCTGTATCATCTATAGGGATGTAGAGAAAATAATCAATTGTTTTAAACCTCGTATCTATCTTTGTTTACTTAATTCAGGATATGAATTTTATGATTTACGGTAGTACATGTTGCTGTTCATTGGTATGATTCCAATTAGATGAAATATTTGCTTCTGCATTTAAGAACGAGAGAGAAAAATATTTATTAAAATTAGGCTGTTACGTATAAATTAGTTGAGTTAGAGGGGAGAAAAGACAAATTTTAGCTATAACTTAAAAGGCAGACATTCATTTTTTCGGTGCTTTTCTACCCAAAAGAGTTAAGATCCGCAGTTTTTAATTTATGTCATCGTCTTTTTTATCAACTGTATTTTTCTGTGCCACACCAACTATGTAACGTGTAACGAACTAAAATAACACGCCGCTGCAACCAATGTTCAACAAAAAAAACAACAACAATTAATTAAGCTGTAACAACACTTGGAGTAAAATTTAGCATTTTCTAAAAGCACAGTTAATAAACACGTGCCTGGCCAGGACTTGATACTAGTGAACAATAGAACATAAATATCAATATTGATTATTTCAAAATAATGAAATTAGGAAAAAGAACAAAAAAAAACCCAATTCCAGAAAACAATATTCCAAAAATCACAATTCTTTACAAGTAACAATATAGTGACATACGGCAATAATTTACTAACTATATCATTAACTAACTATTTTGTAACTCAGTTCTTGAAACTTATGACAGGGTGTATATTCGCTCAGTTAGGTCATGAGAGTACATCTCACGTGATCATAAATTTACATAATATTTTGCTACATTAAGAATATCTGTTCATCACCGCTAGAGAAAATGGTGTTAGTTTCATAATCATAAATATTTACTCAAAATATACATGATCAGCTAGAAGGTGAGTTAGAAGTCTAATATAAACTAAAAATTCACTGATAAATTGAACGATAGAAGGAATAATAAATAAGCGCTAAACAAAACCATGACAAAAAATATAAAATTCGCTATCTTACACTCTTTTTCCGCTTAGGAAAACAATTTGATGACATTAACCACTTCGTATACAATATCGCAATTTTCTTATCCTTACTTTTAACTCCCTCTATATACTGACATGATGAATTTTTTTACAGTTTAAGTCCAGATACCTTAAAAGAAAAATACAACTTATGGTTTTGAATCTTCAGCTTCATCTTCTCTAGCTTCTGGCTCTGGTTTGCTTAACTGGAAGTTTAACAGTTTGAAGACCAGCTAACTACGATACTCAACTCTGCGAAGTGTTCGCAATGTCCCTTGAGGAGGAGATAGAGGTAAGTCATCAGCAGAATTCGTTGAAGGATGAAAGTGGACACACCAGAAGAAGTCCTTTGTCTTGTGGGAGAACGACCTTCATGTCTTCTGTATCCGACATTTTCGTTTTACTGCAACTGTCTAGAACGATTATCATCTTCTTCAGCGTCGAGAGAATTTTCACTTGGAATATATATATCTTTATATTAAAAATATGAAATCATTCTATAACTGCACCTGATCTAGTAAAATTATTTACTGGAGAAGGGAAATAATTAATACTAAATCCCCTACTAATAATACTAAATCCCCTACTTTAAATGTATCTGGACGTCTTTTACTGTTGTAGGCTTGTCGCTGTCGTTTCTGAGCCTTTTCAGTATTGGATATCGCCTTCTGTATGACATCTTGTAATTCTGCTTTTCGTTTATCTACAGTTTGAGTAGTAGTATAGTTTCTTTCTGCAGAGTTCAGTGTTCTACTGGCAAATGCCATGACACCCTTCTGACACAGAATTGCTCCTAATTCAACATTTGAAGCATCAGTATGCAAAAAGTAGTGTTCATCTTTTCTTGGAATTTGCAAGATAGGGGATTCACATAAAGCCTGCTTTAATTTTCGGAATGCATCCTCACAATGGGGAGGGGGGGGGTACAACTTTCATAGTACATACATATTTGTTCAAAATAAACGGGATAAGCTCGAAGATGAGTTAGCGTTTTAATGTAATTAAAAATTCATAGATGAATTGAACGTTAGAAATGATTATAAATGAATGATAAACAAAACCACAACAACAATAAAAAAGTTAGAATTCGCTGTCTCACAACGTACGTGAGACAGAGTTTGATTTACTGCCATTTCATGCTCATGGAATACCACAAAAGCATTAACACATTTCTGTGCTAAGATGTAAAGCAAGGAACTCAACTGCTATAAGTTACGACAGGCACGAAAAATTTAGTCCAATGTAACACTGACTGAATCCAGATTTTAAGGACACAATCACACTTATATGATAATCTAAGACAGCTACTTAGTGATCGAAAGATTCACACTTAGATACTCAGTAGTTATAGGAATCTTCTTAACTGAAAAAATAAAACTGCTAAAGAATTCACAGTAAATAAGAAATAATATTTATGAAACGGCTTAATATAAAACAAACGTGATATTGACTATTTTGATAAGAACCTTGAAAATTTAAACGATTCTATAGTCTTGACAGAAACAGTGTCGGCGATAGTAAAACTTTGGAGAAAATTTAAAAAATACTGAAGAAGTATATATGCTGAGCCTGTTTACTAAACTAATATGCAGTAGGTTACTACATAGTTATTTTATGGTTTTCAATTTATTCAGTTCAAAATAATTTCAACCAATTTACTTTTAAGTATATTCATGTAATATTATAAACAGCAGTATCATCACATGATGTAAGCATGTAAGAGTAGCCGATGTTATATACAGTTCTAACTTCTAGGTATAGTCCGAAGCTAAACATTGTCTCAGTCACACACTGAGTTTCAGTTTCAGTTCCACTCTCAATGAAAAAAATTCAGTTTTAGTTTTATTCTCAGTGAATCTCAGACTTTCAGGTTCACTTTCGGTTTCGCTGGGTCTTTTAAATGTAGTATGAAACGACGTTTATGTGATTATATGCCAGTGCACGTGAGTAAAGTGACTATAAATATAAAGTAAAAAAATCCATCTTGACAGCTGGCAGAAAAGTTGCAGTGCACATCTGTCGTTTATAGGTGCAAATAAATAAAATAAAATAATTTTAAACAACATATTATAAATTTGTGATGGATATTCGCAAACTTATTGGAAAGAAACGGACAGCAGAGCCACAAAGTTCCAACTTCAAATACAAGATGATTCTAGTGCAGTTTGTGAGAAGACAGTTGACATTAGTAAGGAGCCAGGTAGTAGTTCATACATGGGAAACGAGTTAAGTTTTGGTGATAATGAAAATGAAGATGAAGTCATTGATAATCTTGGAGAACCGGCGCAGGTTCGCTATTTACGTGTTTATTTTTCATGGCAAGGGCAAGGGAAACAGAATCTGGACTAATTCCACATTTAGACATTTTTACATGAAAACGTATCTTGACATTTTTTCAGACAATACCTGATCCGTCAGATTTACACAGAAATGAAGCAGATTTGGAACAAGCAGCCACAAGGTCCTCAAAGAGCATCCCGGGTCCTCCAGATCTTTCTCAAAGTCCGGATGATAGACCAGAACAGCCTTGCAAACTTCCCAAAATCGCATGGTCGACGCTTTAATGCAGACTGGTGTGTGAAGCATGAATGGATCGAATATTCTGTCTGTGAGGACAAAATGTATTGCTTTGTTTGTAGACACTTTTCTACAGCACGAGTAAGCGAAGAGAGTGCCTTCGTATCAGACGACTTTAACAGCCGGAAAAAGTGCACAAGCGATTCATATAAGAATAACCGACTACTTAAGCACCAGAAATCAGAGCAACACGTTGATTGTACAGCCAGATATGCTGCATACAAAGAAGCAAAACAGCGAAAAAGTGCAGTAGCATATCTAATTAATGAACAGTATAGAGAGACTGTGAGAAAGAATCGTAAATACATCAAAACTATTGCTGATAACCTCAGACTAACAGCCGTCCAAAATATTGCACAAAGGGGACATTAAAGAGACAAATTATGAGGATAATATTGGAAATTTCCTAGAAATATTGAATCTGTTGCAAAAATATTCAGGAAAAATTGCGATCCAAGCTGACAGAAGGACCAACTAATGCGAGATATTCTCACCACACAGTACAAAATTCATCACTTGAAATTATGTCAGATATCATTTTAGATGAAATAAGGGAAGAAGTAGCAATTGCAAAGCTATTCTCTATTTTGGTTGATGAATCCAAAGATTTATATGCATACATCCAGGAGGAGCTGAAATCAAATAGAATTGATATACGAAAGTTGATAGCTCAGGTATATGACAATGCCGATGTAATGAATGGCAAGTGCAGTGGTGTTCAGCAAAGAATAAAAGAGATCGTGCCACAGACTCTATATGTACATTGCCTTGCCCATAAGCTGAACTTGGTCATTGTGGATGCAATCAAATAATTCATTCCTGTAGCTGACTTTTCTCAACACTGCAAATAAGCTATGTCTTTCTTATTGGTTCAAATGTACATGCCAGGTGGCTAAAATACCAGAAAGACATGTATCCGGCTGATAAACCTGTTGAGCTTAAAAATTACTCTGACACTCGCTGGGCTAGCCAAATCAGGGCGATTGAAGCAATGGAAAAGCGATTTGACTGCTTTGTATCATTTTTGAAAGATGTAGATCTCAAAGATGATAACCAAGAGAGAGCTTCAAAAGTTCACAGTATCCTATCACAGTTAAATCAGAAGTTTATCTACTGTATGCTGATGCTCTCTGACATCTTGCGTGAAGCAAAATGTTCTTCAGATTTGCTCCAAGATGCTGCAGTGGAATATTCAAGGGCTGCAGAAATGATCGAGACATTAATGGAAGAAATACAGTCGTACAGAAATGACGCAAAAGCTGGCCACTATCATACGTCATCAAAGAATATTGCCAAACGAAATGACCTATGATATTCAGAACCCGAAAATATTTCTAGCCATAAACCACAGAAAAGCATACCAAGCCACATGAAAGATTTTGTAATACTGTCTTCTCTTGGAAAGCGTGACACAGTTCAGCATTCGTCTGACTTTAAGGCTCTAATATTGTTTCCAACAATTGACAGGTTTCTAAGTGAACTTCACAGGCGTTTCTACAGCCACAATCTAGATATATTTATTTCACCATCAGCGTTGGATCCACTGTCAAAGCATTTTCTTAATATTGAGTTACTTAAACCACTAGCAGAACATTATAAAATGAACTTGAAAGATTTGTTTATGGAGGGGAAGCAAGCAAAGCGAATGATAGAAAGGAAATATACAAGATTTGATTCAATGAATGAATTTGATGAATATTTGAAACCGCTGTACAAAGTTGTTCCAGGGTCTGCGAATTGCCCTAACTCTATCTGCGAGCACTGTTGGGTGTGAACGGACCTTCAGCAAACTGAAGCTTATAAAATGCCCACTTCGCACAACAATGGAAGATCACCGTATTAAAAGACTTGCAATCTTGAGTGTTCTGAGACAGAGGACACTAGACATCGATCTTGATGACGTGGACAGAATGGTGGCCACATTTCCAAACATGCGCATTACATTGGTATAAAAACGAACAAATTCCATAAGTCCTGTACTTTAGGATCTATCCTCACTTTGTAGTTTATAACTTTCCAAGCTGGAAAACAGAGGACATTTAAATTTCATTAGAAACATTTCTGACAAATTTATTATTAAACTTCTTGAATAATTTATTTTCATGTGATTTATATTTTGAGATAAATCATAATATTGTATGGTATACAGTTGTTTTATCCTGATGATAAAAATATTGCTAGATTTTCCAATTCCTATATTTCATTTTGCATGTATTAATGCATATAATTCATTATTATATGTACGTGTAATTATTAGTAAGTCTTTGCACTCGTCTTATTGTTTCAGAAATTCAGATCAGTATCATCAGTTAATATTATATTATAATCTCAGATAGGAAAACACATTCGTTCCAACAAAAGTGCCGATAATTGTGCATTGTATCAAAACAGGTTACATAGTGATAATTGGGTATAATTAATATTTTGATAATTTTATTTATATGCCCAAAATAAACAGTATGTAATTATGTATGTATTCCATTTGATATTATGGATCTTGTCGATTAAAATAGTTTCTTACAGTTCCAGTGATTTTGTTGACAATTTGTATGTGTGCATTAACGAATAAAACCAAAAATATTATATGCTTTGCAAAATAATATTTTATCAACTTGGAATTATAATCTTTGGTTAAAATGTAAAAATATTTGTTCTTTAACGAGACTCAAATTTGAGTTACTAATCCACCTTGATTAAACGTTTGAGACAAATAGTCACTACAAACACAAATAACATCTGCCCCTCCCCAGAAATCTGGCGTTGCCACTGGACAGAAATACAACTCATTAATGAAAATAGAAATTTCAGAATCATTTGTTTAATGAGAAAAAAAAGAGACAATAAATTAGCAACTTATGTCGGACTTAGCACCAAATGGTTCTTATTTTGATTTATTTTATGACCAGTTGTTGAAATTTCTGGAATGAAGAATTGAGATATTAATACGTTTCGATCAGCAATAGTGATTTCCCCAAAAACATACGATTAAGAGTAGGCACATTTTCTAATCATCTATTTCCGATCAACCAATAATTATGTTTATTGGTTTTGTAACCATTTCTTTAGTGCATTTGTAACTCTATTTAGTAATACTTCATTTATGTTGCGTGCTTCTTTTAGGTTATGTTTTCACCTGTTTTTTTGTTTTCATTTTTCACATAATTTCTTATAGAATTATACTTATATATATATATCACATTTGTCAGTTAACTTTAAAACCCTTAGAATATGAGCTTCACATTTGCTGAACTTCGTCAATCTGTAAAATAACTTTTTCCTACCGTGACGTCTTCTCTAATCATTCATGGTCAAACCCTTACCCTTTTATACATGTCACTTTCTGACTTCATTTCTCAGTCTTAACCTGATATCCAGTCAACTGCAGAAAAGCGTATTGCCTAAGGAAGGTGTACTTCTAGCTCAGATATAAGTTCTATGTCATTTTAATTATCTCTCATCACTGTAGCCATTTTTGTTCATAAGCACCAATTGTCTACTGACCCATTTCCTCCGAAAGTTCGACTTTTCCCATCTTTGTTGAAGAAATTAAACCGTTATTTAGCCCGATCTTTTCTCTCCTATGCATCATGTCTTCAAGAGTACTTCGCGTAGATTTTGAGCTTTTACAATATTTATTAAAGTTGTGGTGTATTCTGGAGAAATTTCCGTGTGTAATGACTCTTCGAGTTGTCTAAATTGGATATTCCCACTTTAGACTTCATAGCTACTGCCCTTGTATCTGACGGCCAGCTTCGTTTTTCTCCTAAGCACGCACTAAGAAGAGACGAATAACATATTTCTACCGACACGAATTTTAAATACATTGTTCTCATACTATTTTCATTGATACGAAAGTCCTGTACTTTTAAGGCCACTCATTATATACAGATTGTTTCTATTGCCTCTATCCCACTATTCAACCTTTTCCAGAAGAGTAATTCTGACAACATTTCCTTTTTGTATTTCTAAAGGCATTTGAATCCCCATCAAGAAGGTACAAATCTTTCCAGTTTATCTCTCAGTCCGAAACGTTCTGTTGAGTTCAAGAGATCTCACGAGGTGATTTAAGATGCACTATACCATTCGTGTGACGTTTCTTGAAAAACTTTACACTTCCACTTTCCTT